TGCGTATTTATCCCGTTCAAAGCAATCCAGATCGTTCTCGAACACTAACGCGCTGGTCCGGCTGGTCGGTTCTAGCCGATTCTAGCTTGATGGCGTCAGCGGCAGATCGCTCACCGCAACGTTGCCGCTGTTTATGTTTAATATTATGACAATTAGATTTTTTTGTGGAATTTTCGGAAGCTTCTCTGATTTTTGCAGTTTGTATTTTTCAAATAAAAATCGTTGTGAGAGCTACCAGAATTGCCTCCGAGAGCTACCGGTAGCTCGCGATCGACAGGTTGGCGACCACTGCCCTAACCTAACCTAACCTAGCCTAACTAAGGTAGTGAAGACATGCCCTAACCTAACCTAACCTAACTTAACCTAACCTACCGTATATTACTGGAGTTTTTTCCCCAATACCAAATCGTTATTTTTAACACTTCGACACGTGTTTCGATCACCAAGTGATCATCTTCAAAGAGGAAGATCAAAACTCTAATCTTCCTCTTTGAAGATGATTTGATCTTTGATTTGATCTTACTCTTTGAAGATGATTTGAAGATTATAGTTTTAATCTTCCTCTTTGAAGATGATCACTTGGTGATCGAAACACGTGTCGAGGTGTTAAGAATAACGATTTGGTATTGGGGAAAAAATTCCAGTAATATACGGTAGGTTAGGTTAAGTTAGGTATTTGGTATTGGAAAAAAACTCCAGTAATATTCATTATTACACCAAAGGTTCCAAACAGTGCTTCATAAATAACCTATCGTAACTAAGTAAGTGAAGACATGCCCGAAGAAGCCATTGTATGGCGAAACACGTGTTGCGTTTTTGTAAAACCGTTTAGTGAAAATCTCACAGTGAAGTGTTTTTTGAAAACATTAAAGAAGATGATGCTTCTCAGAAACAGAGCCTTGGCAAAATATAGTAGAACAAAATCTAAAAATCGTATTAAATATTGAGAATTGAGAAATTATGTAATCCGAGCGGTGAAAAATGAAAAGAGAGCATATTTTTCTCACCAGTTCAATACAACCAATAAAAAGCAATTCTGGAATGTTCTGAAGGCAAATGATTTTATTTCTCAAAATCTCTCAAGAATGTTAATGAAATTAATGATTATTTCATCAACTCTGTGCCCAACAGGGAACTCCCGAATGAGCTCATAGAATTTTTTTGTTTTGAAATAATTGTTTGATAGCAGGACTTTCATTATACAGTGTCATCCCCAAAGTATGCACCATATGGGAAACTTATTTATTAAGGGTTTCTCGACAACAAGTTATTCCTGATAAAAGTTTGTGCATTCCCTAAAACTAAACATGCACCAACAAAATATAGTACAACACACGTAATATACGCGGAGCCTTCAAATATTTGATTTTGTGACAAAAGTAAAGTACTCTTATTTTGAAAAATCTCGGAAATGTTATTCAAAAAAGTTAGCTAAATCATTTTGAA